AACAAGTAAAGGCCGATTTTTATCTCGTCCGTATCGTAGCATTTTCTTTTGTGTCGAAGTCTTAGTTACAGGGACCTTAACTTCGAAGGTCATTATATTTATGAAACAAAAAACCCTTCGACTTTGCCTTCCATGTCGTCCATATTTTATTCCATGTCGTCCGTATATTAAAATATACTTTCAAAGCCTAATTCAAAGCGAGGCTAGCGACTCGCAACTCGCAACTCGCAACTCGCAGCTCGCAACTCGCAACTCGCAACTCGCAGCTCGCAACTCGCAACTCGCAACTCGCAGCTCGCAGCTCGCAAAATAGCCGACCCCGAACTGAATAATACATGGTGCGCGGAAATACCAGATTTATTTCGAGTGTTGAACATGATATCTCACGAGTGAGCGCAGCGAACGAGTGAGATATGTTCAACACGAGAAATAAATCTGGTATTTCCAAGCACCTATGTAGTTTTCTGTTTATTATATAAAAGACAGTCTTTGAAAAGCGATAATTTTTACAGAAAAGCGATAATTGAAAAGCGATAATTTTCACATGTGAGATTATCATGAATAATCTCACATGTGAGATTATCACTTTATTAGTGCTCGAAATCTCTATAAAGCACTATACTTTATATAATAAAATAAATTAAAACATAACGGCGATTATCTTCAATCATCCCAATCTCGTTCCCCGAGCCTGCAAGGTTCTGGGATAATCCGTTGCCGGAAGCCAGGAATCCTGGCTAAGATCGAACTGTGCATTCCATATCAACGGCCAATCAGATTGATTGATTGAACGAGGTTGGGATTATCCCAGAGCCCCACGTTCCTTCCCGAGGATCGCAATCATCCCCAATTCCCCCCAAAAAAAAAGGCTCGTCATTCTTATAATCGTGCGGCCAAAGCCTGGCACGAGTAAATGAGTAATTAGCATGCATGAACATGAAAGCAGCCGACGGAAGATTAGGGGGGGACTATCCCAGTGGCAATCTCGTTCCCTGAGCATGCCCGTTCGCAGGTTAAGGGTGGCTTAACCTGCGAACGGGCATGCTCGGGGAACGAGATTGCCCCAGTGGAATTTTATATTTTATATTTATTTAACTTTGCCAAGTAACATGCAACATATAACACCACTGATTTACAACAACATATAATAATATGTGTTTCATTGGCAGGGTGCACGCAACAGTTTTCACCAATTACAGCGGCCCCATTAACTATTTTAATACTATACAACAATATACAACGATATACAACGAACATAAATCTAATAACAACACGATATTTGACAGGACAGATTACGAGACTTGTTACAAGACAAACATATAGATTTCCATGTCCTTGGATCATCAACGTTAAAAACGTCTTCCAACGCTAACTTGTAATATTTTGAAAGTCCGTTTTTGAATTGTCCTAAACTAATGTTATTGCTTGTCAAACTTTTTGGTAATGCGTTCCATAGTCTCTTTGTTCGGTTGAGAAATGACCTTTGGTAGGTAGTGGTCTTGCATTGTGCCGTTGTGATTGACAGATGATTGGGATTAGACGACCTGGTTTGTCTTCTGTTGTTATTGGGTGACGACTGTATTAAATTACTGTCAATGGTCATGATGCCATGCGTTAATTTGTAGAAGGTTACCATATCTAGAAATTCATGCCAGTAGCACAATGGAAGGAGATCTAAAAGTGCAAGTCTCTGGTTGTAGGTTGTGTCACAACGGAAGGGCAGATTCAGGATGTACTTTGTTGCGCGTCTTTGAAGTCTTTCCACGCGTTTAATTAAGGTTACTGATTGTGGTGCCCAAATTTGAGATCCATAGCATAGCTGGGAACGAACAAGACATAAATATAGTCTGCGGCGAACCGTGATATCTTTGATGTTTAAGGTTGATCTTCGGACATATCCTAGCATTTTGGTGGCTTTGTTGCACAGGTGGTCAACTTGTTTAGACCAAGTCAGAGTAGAAGATGTTAAAACTCCAAGATCTCGTTCACAGTCCGTGCATTCTAGGATGGTATCGTTAAGTTTGTATGGATAAGTAATTTTATTGTGCTTTCGGGTGACTCTTAAGACTTTGCATTTGGTGTTATTTAATTCGAGGTTAATAGTGCTTGAGCTTTCTTGGAAGTTTGACAGATCATTCTGTAGAGCAGACGCATCAGAGATCAAATTGATGGTCTTGAAGATCTTGGTATCGTCCGCGAATATAGCAATCCTTGAATTGGTCACGGAATTGGAGAGATGATTCTCATATAGAAGGAACAATAATGGACCGAGGATGGACCCCTGCGGCACTCCTGATGTTACTGGAAGCGGCCTCGACGTTGCTCCAAGAACGGTCGTTTGTTGATATCGGTTGGTCAGATATGAACCGAACCATTTGAGAATGCTTCCTCCAAACCCGAATTCACGAAGGCGATGTAACAGCTTTGCGTGGCTCACTTTATCAAAGGCCTTTGACATGTCTAAATAAATTACGTCAATTTGTTTACCACGATCTAAGTCACGGCCAATGTGATCAAGGACTTCGATGAGTTGGGTGATGCAGGATTTTTTCGGCACAAACCCGTTTTGGCAAGGGTTTATCTGATCATAAGCATGATGTTTGATGTTGTTAAATACACAACGTTCGAGGGTTTTTGATATA